CAGATGAAAAAAAATCCTCTAAATGGTTTATAGTGTGTTTAAAAATATATGTAGGCTTGGGAGAGAAGAGAAAAAGGATAAAGTCCTTTAAAAAAAGAGAGAAGTTGGGTGTCATGGTACACACCTTTAATCCCAGCACTTGGGAGGCAGAGGCTGGCGGATCTCTGTGAGTTCAAGGACAGCCTTGTCTACAGAGTAAGTGCCAGGAGAGCCAAAGATACACAGAGAAACCCTGTCTCAAAAAAAAAAAAAAAACAAAAACAAAAAATTAAAAAGAAAAGAAATGGAGCTTAAAATAAAGCCAGGTAAGGGTGAAAATACACAGAGTCTGGATACTGTATGCTTTTGTATTGTCTGTGAATTGTATGGCTGCTGAGGAAGGAAAAATAGGTGCTAAAAGACATTTGGTTATAAATGCTGCTGGATTAATACAAAATATATATTTTGAAAATGCTTAGACTTCAAAATTTAAGTCAAAAGATATGTTACTTTGGAGGTTTTGCTTTTGTTTCCATAGGAAATGAGAGGCTGTGGATTCATTCTGGGTTAGGAAAAATCAGGTTTGATCAAGGAAGACCCCTTGAGAAATCTCTAATAGGAGTGGATGGCCTAGATGTCTGAGTTCTACATCCAGAACAGTTTCAAGACTGCTGGCTGAGATAATCAAGCCTCGCAGAATACTCCAGTCAGGACTTCATTATAATTCTAAATTTTCTTTAGGTCCCTATAAGATTATCAGTATCCCCCAGACAGCAGGAAGTAGCTTAGAAAACTACTCCCACATTCCCAAAAAAAATGGATTATGGATGTTTCTCTTTGTTTAGAGTATTGGTTACAAGTTGCTATGGATAATGGTCAGAAAAAAAGCTTATCAAAGGAGATTAGATTCAGAGTTCTTGTTATAAAAAAGGGGGAGGATGCTGTGGGACAATGGTCTTCTACATTGTAAAGATCTGTTGCTTGTATTGCTTTAATAAAATGCTGATTGGCCAGTAGCCAGGCAGGAAGTATAGGTGGGGCCACCAGAACAGGAGAATTCTGGGAACAGGAAAGAGTCGGTCTGCAGTCATCACAGTCGTAACCCAGATGCAGAGGAAGCAAGATGAGAATGCCTCGCTGATAAAGGGTGCCAAGCNGCTTAGGGGAATGGGATGGTTGGGATGGAGGAAGGGTGGATATGGGAGCAGGGAAATAGATATCTTAATTAAGGGAGCTATTTTAGGGTTGGCAAGAAACTTGACTCTAGAAGGGTTCCCAGGTGTCCAAGGAGATGTCCCAGCTAGTTCCTTGGGCAGCAGAGGAGAGGGTGCCCGAACTGGCCTTGTCCCATAGCCACACTGATGAATATCTTGCATATCACTATAGAGCCTTCATCTGGTGATGGATGGAGATAGAGACAGAGACCCACATTGGAGCACTGGATTGAGCTCCCAAGGTCCAAATGAGGAGCAGAAGGAGGGAGAACATGAGCAAGGAAGTCAGGACCACAAGGGGTGAAGTCCACCCATGGAGATGGTGGGACTGATCTAATGGGAGCTCACCAAGGCCAGCTGGAATGGGACTGATGGAGCATGTGATCAAACTGAACTCTCTGAATGTGGCAGACAATGAGGGCTGACTGAGAAGTCAAGGACAATGGCACTGGGTTTTGATCCCACTGCATGAACTGGCTTTGTGGGAGCCTCGTCTGTTTGGACACTTACCTTCCTAGACCTGGACGGAGGGGGGAGGACCTTGGACTTCCCACAGGGCAGGGAACCCTGACTGCTCTTAGGACTGGAGAGGGAGGGGAAGAGGAAGGGAGGAGTGAGACGGAAATGGGAGGAGGTGGAAACTTTTAATAAATAAATAAATAAATTAAAAAAAGAATAAAAAATAAACATACATAGCCTATGACAATTATATTACCAGGTTTCCATAGGCTTATTAAGAAAACAAGAAATTTAAAAATGCTCCCAATACACACGCACGTACACACACACACATTGACTTACAAAGTGGCAGCCTACTTTTCCTTGTGTACATGAGCCATGTGCACTGTGTTTACAAACGTGTAGGTGTGTGCACCATATTCATTGAGGCAGGGTTTCTCAGTCCGACACCAAATTCATGGATATGACTTGCCTGGCTAGCCAGCTTGCCCTGGAGATCCTGTCTCTGTTTTTTAATGCTAGCATTACAGATGAACTCTATACTTGCCTAGCATGTATGTGGATCCTGTGCATACAAGTGCTTTAGTTGTGGAACCATTTCCCTAGTCCAACCAGCCCATTAAAAGATCTTTTTATTTTTGGAAAATTTTATACTTGCATATAATGTATTTTGATCTTATCTACCCCACCCCACTACCTCCCTCTATTTTCCGCCTGGAACCTCAGAATCCATTTTCCTCTCAACTTTAAAATTATTATTATTAATAGTCCTGACCAATTATTATTTTTATGGTTTATCTTTATTATTTTTAATTACATGCACATGTGTGTGTGCCTGTGTGAATATGTACAAGTGAGTGCAGGTGCCCAGGGAGGCCAGAGGTGGCAGATTTCCCTTGAACTGGGGTTAGAGATGGTTATAAGCCACACAGTGTGGGTGTTAGGAGTCAAACTTAGGCCTTTGAAAGAGGAGTATGTATTCCTAGCCACTGAGCCATCTTTCCAGCCCCTGAGTCCAATCATTGTTGGCCATATGTACACAGGTGGGGCCATCCACTGGGGCATGGCCACACACACAGAAAAGTTACTCTCTTTTCTTCAGCAGCCAACAGTTGCCAATAGCTCCTTGGTTCTGAGGTTGGAGTCTCAGGAGCTCCTCTGCCACCTATGCTGAAACTGTGACTGGCTTGATCTCGTGCAAGCAAACACAATTCCTAGCAGCTCATCTTTAATGTTTGAACTAATGTTTCCAGATATGTGTTTCAAACAAAGAAACATAGTATTGCTTTTGCCAAGACAATTTTGTCTAAAAATACGAAAAAACAAGAGAAACATGAAAAACACATTAATGTCATAAGAGAAATTTATGTAAAAATATATCGATTTTCACCTATTACAATAGTAGAAATAGTTGGGTGGCCTTGGTGGCGCATAACTCTAATCCCAGCACTTGGGAGGCAGAGGCAGGAAGATTTCTGTGAGTTCCAGGATAGCCAGGGCTGTTAACAAAGAGAAACCCTGTCTCAAAAAACTAACTAACTAATTAACTAACTAACTAACAAACACACACAATAACAGAAATAAAAAGTATAATACCTGATTCAGACAAGTAAACACAGCAGTGAGTATTTGTTATTAAAAATGGAAAAGCTTTATTTCTTGACATCAAGGAAAACTATGAAAGATCTGTTGAGGAAAGAATAACTAGGTACAGATTCAGCCATCTCATTCTCCAAAGCTGCATAAACATTTGCAAAAATTTCCTTCATCTATTAATATATCCCCAGAGCAGCCAGCCCACGCAGAACTGGGGCATTCACATGTCAAAATATTCCACAGAGATCTGGGAACAGATATTTTTGGCAGAAAGTAGTTAATGTGCAGAGGAAGACTGCCCACAATACAACCCAGGGTTCCAGACTGCTTCAGGAACTCGTGGTGACGACAGAAGTTAGTGTCGGTCCCAGCATTCGAATCATTTGATACCACGGCTCTTATGACAAGAGGACCAGCTGCTGTTTCTGTCGCCAAAGATGGCAACATATGAAGGAGAGGTAACGGTGAACTTTTAACGCTGCTTCAGAACACTTCCTCAATGCCTATTTTTACAGAAAAAGAAAGCCAGGTGTGGTGGCGCATGCCTTTAATCCCAGCCCTGGAGAGGCTGCCGGCTTTGCCGACCTGGTGAATTCCAGGTCAATGAAAGATTTAATGTCTTTAAAAAAAAAAAAAAAAAAAAGGATCATGGGTCTTGAGGAATCATCCGAGGTTGTTCCTCATGTATGCCAAGAGTGTGTGGACAGACAGACAGATATACACAGTTTGTCTTAGCATACTTTTCCGTGTGTGCTGAACCTCCAGGATTGATGCCATAGTGACAGCCCCATGAACTCTACGGCTGACCAATCCTTTGATGTCTCAGTGGCAATGGCCAACCCAGTAAGCCCTTCTCGAAGCCATTAGACAAAATCCTAACACGGAACCTGTGGGCTTATCCGGGGGCTTCTGAAAGCTGCCGTCTTCGTAGGTGGGAGGTTGAATCCAAGAACATTTTGTGCCCTTTCCCCCAGATACCTGATCAACTATCACTTCCTGCTAGAGGTCTTCTCTGACCATCTTCTCCAGCCAGAGACCCCACCCTTAAAATTTTCTCACCATTGCTTGCTGCTGAGTTTCACGACAATCTGTCATTACCTTGTTTATCTGCTCACGTTCATCTACTCAATTAGAAGGCAAGTTTCCCCGAGAGCAGGCGCTGGTCTTCCGGTGCCTTGAACTTTGAGCCTGCTGGGCTTCCAGATATGGGGGATTGAAGGACAGGCCCACAGTTTGGTACGCACAGGTGTGTGAACGGGTCTCATTATGGTGATTCAAACTCCAACGCTCTGCCACGGGCTCCGGAGTACCTGGGACAACATACCTGGTTTTATGCTGGGAATGGAACCCAAGGCTACAGGTATACTAAGCAAGCACCCTACTAACTGGGCTACAGCCTTAGCTGGAAATCTCCCTAAAATCAGGTATTTTCATCTCGCTAGCCACACCCACCCTCCCCATCCTTGCCCACAGTAGGCGCGCCAGGTGTCTCACTTACCCCTAAGCCCTGCCGCCAGACCGCTTAGAGGCCACGAGGCTAAGTACGGTCACGAAAAGCTCCGGTACCAACTCTCGGGACCAGGCCGGGCTTGAGCGATAGCGAGTCGCCCTCCCCGCCACCCGCGCCATCATCCGAGGCTCACTGGCCGCCCAGCGATCCAGGCGGTACCCTCTGTGCGGCGTGCGCCCGTCAACCCGCCGCCCTCCACAACTACTTCCGGGTGAGCGGGTCGCCGGCCGGTGGCCCCGCCCCTCTGCCCCGCCACCGCCGCAGCTGCAGCCGCCGCTCGGGCTGCGGCTCATCCCGGGTCGCGTTTGCCGTCCCTGCTGCGGCGCGAAGGGTACCCTGAGTGTGGCTGCGTGACCGGCCGCGGCGCGAGGAGCCCTTCTTCTGCCTCCCTGCGGCCCGCGCGGTGGACGGTGTCGGGACCGAGTGTGGCCGCCGCGCCCCTCGCTCCGCTCTCGGGCGGCCGCTCCGGCCCTTCCGGGCGGCGCCGCTGCCTCAGCCCGCTCCACAGGCAGGTAAGGGCAGGCGACCGGCCCGGCTGTCCCGAGGCGCTGCTCCGGGCTGGGGTCGCCTGGCGAGTCGCCGGCTCCCGCCCCCACCCCACCCCCCGCGAGGAAAGAAGGGGTTACGCCCCTTGGACCGGGCATCATTTGGGACAGCTGGGTGCCCCAGCTCCCATTGCTCCCAGCGCCACATTCCCTCTGTTCTCGGTCTGTCCCGGGAGGAGCCGCCCCGGGAACCGTGTCAAGCCGGTGGAGGGCGTAGCTTTTTAAAATGAGATTACC